AGTTGGCATAAGCAATATCAGAATCTTAAAGTAAACTACTTATGATTATTCAAAATTAAGTATATTAAAAATCTTCTGATTAGTTACTCAAATTATCGTTAGAGTAAAAATAATCTATTAAATAATAATAAGACAAATTATTTAAATAATATACAAGAATTAAACAAGTATTCAAGTCTTAAACATTTTATACATGTAAAAAGTTTGGCAAAAACTAAAATTTTAATAAAAAATCTTTGTTATAAATTTATTAGTAAATTTTGAATTGTATTATTTTAATTTCTGTCTTATTAAATATCAATTTATTTTAAAATAACTAAACAAAAATGAAAGCAAAATAATAATTTAAATAATATTGAAACAGAGTCTAGTAATTCAAAAATAGAATGTCTACAAACAGATGTTTGGAAATATTTTAAAAGAGGTCAATCTAGAGGTAATGGTCATTGGGAAGGAACATGTAAATTTTGTGAAAAATTTTATCCATATGCTAAACTACAAACTTTGCATACACATCTTGCAAACAGTTGTAAAAAAGTTCCTGAGGAGTAGTAGCATCACTTTAATTATATTATAATTAATAATTTAAAGGATATTCCAACTAATGAACCTTATAATATACCAAATATCCCCTCATCTTTAGTTAAACAAAAAAAATTTTTAAGCAACCTGAGTTAACTAATTGGTTTGATTCTACTAGAATCAAAACATCTAAACAACTATTAATTGATGAAGCTATTATATTAGCTTTTATAATATATAGTATTCCTTTTTGTATAGTTGAAAATCTTTTTTTTTAAATACTTTAAAACTTCTTAATTCTGGTTATGGAGCTTCATTATATAAAACTCTTACTAGGCATTTATTAGATACTGAAGTAGCAAAAGTAATTAGTAAAATTAATGAAATTTTAGAGTATACTAGTAATCTTATTATTAGTATTGATAGCTGGAATACTTTTAATGAGTTTTTAATTTAGAATTTTGTTATTATGACTCTATTACGACAAGAATATCTATATAAACTTGGAAATTATTCAAATCAGTCTCATACAGCTAAATTTTTAGCTAGCCAAATAGAGTTAATTATCAATCATATTGGTAAAGATAAAATTTTAGCAATTATTAGTAATAATAAAGCCAATATAGCATCTGCACGATGTATAATCTATTCAAAATATAAAAATATTATAAATATTCAGTGCATGGCTCATTGTTTTAATATAATTAGTAAGGATATAATTCAGTATATATTTACAGAAAGAATGATTTAATGTGCAAATAAAATAGTAAAATTTTTTAAAAAATCTCATAAAGCAGTAGCTATATTAAAACAAAAAATTTTACAATATAATATTAGTGGTCGTAGTCTCAAAACATATGTAGAAACAAGATGGACTACTGTATATGATTGTGTTTTTTCAATTGTATGTCTTAAAGTTTGTTTAGAAGAAATTTGTGAAAATCACTCTGAAATTATTAATTCTGTTATTTTAACAATACTTCAGAATTGAGACTTTTTTACTGATATACAATATCTTTCAGATATTTTACTTCCAATAAAAAATACAATTTTATCAATTGAATCAAATTGCTCTACACTTGCTAACTGCTATATTAACTTAGTAAAAATTGCTGCAACAATTCAAAACCTTCCTACTTATAAATATAAAGGATTTTGTAATTATTGTATTAGAAAATTTAATAGTCGATTTGAAGAATTTAATGATCCTATTTACTAACTTACATATTTTCTTCACCTAGCATATAAAGGCATTGGATTAAAGTTTGGTATATTTCCTTTAATTGCAAGTTATACTGAAAATTTGTGAAAACAAATAGGTAAATTGAAAGAAAGTTATGAAGTTTTAATAATACAATTGTGACTTTATAAAGAACAAGTAAATATAAGTGAAAATTTAAATCCTTATATTGCACTTTATACAATTAGTAATGATACACCCTTAATGTGATAGAATACTTGTGAAGCTAAACCTAACTATTTACAACATTTGGCAATTAAGCTTTTTTCTATTATACCAAGTTCAGCTATTTGTGAACAAATGTTTTCTTCATTAGGATGAATTTATGGAAAATATTATACTAGATTAGAAGTAAATCAGTTAGAAGAATTAGCTAAAGTTTATCAGTTTTATTTATCAAATCTAATTGAACAACTTTATCATACTCAACAAACTTCAGAAATAACTCCTAAATTAATAGAAAATATTATGGAAACTGTTTTTAAAGAATTTGAGGAAGAAATATTAATAGAAGATAAAAATGAAGAAATGTCTAATCCTACTGAAGACCTTTATTCAGATGAACAAGATTTAGATCTAAATATTTTAAATTTTGTTGATCTTTAATCTTCAGTTTTTATATCTAAGAATACTAGTAATTATGAAAGTGAAAGATTTAGTAATGTTGAGTCTGATGATAATAGTATTCAAAAAAGTAAATATGATGTATATGAAATTGTTGCTAGACAATTAGATTTTAGTTCAAATTAAATACAGTATAGGTAAAAAAGAATTTTTTTTTTTTTTTTTTTTTTTTTTACTTGATAAACATGTCATCGGCAAGATTTTTATTAGTATAGATAGTTTTGAGCAATGATTACATATGTGAG